CACACAATGAAAGTCCTGTTACATCGCTGATCACCGTGTTAAATAAAACCACACAATGAAAGTCCTGTTACATCGCTGATCACCGTGTTAAATAAGACAACACAATGAAAGTCCCGTTACATCGCTGATCACCGTGTTAAATAAAACCACACAATGAAAGTCCTGTTACATCGCTGATCACCGTGTTGAATCCAAGAGTGACGCAACTCCGTGCATGGGGCAAATAAATATGACACGTACGACACCGAATAAACCAGTTCACTTAGAGGTATCTTGGAATGATGAATGTTTTATTAACTTACCTGTTCGGCCCACACCAGCACTACAATGAACAACCTACAACAAAAAAAGTTACAAGGTAAATATGAAAATCAAAGCAAATGGCTGGGATTTCAGAGCTCTTACCATTGGTCCAGCGTCAGGTGGATTAGCAGCACTTGCTCTGCGTACAAAGTTCAATACTGACGTGACGCTGCTAGGCACGCCATGGTCAGGCCAGGCTGTGTAGTGATACTGTGTAACCATACGTTCTTCGGGGGAATTCTGCATCTTGAGTGCAAACGATCTGATTGTGTAGTCACTCAGTTCTACTGTACTCATATTGATTACTTCAAGATTACCATAGAGTGAAGAGCCTGATGAAGGCCAATACTGATGACACTTGACTCGCCCTTTTTCTTCACAGTTCGTAACCTGCATCATGTTAATATGTTTTAGTAAAAGAAATCATGTAGTATACCATGCTTACCCACTTTCCGCGCCCAAACGGCTAATGTACTGTTTCTATCTGTATCGTTGAGTTTGCCACTGTACATAGTGTAAGCGTATGCGCACTTGTTATCTAACCTGTTGTCCCCGAAGCACAGGTAACCCAACATTGTCTTACCATTACTATCAGTCTAGATCCTCTTTCCCAGATCATTCTCCAGAAGTCATCACAAGTGTCAGGTAGTGGCCCTTGACTTGCTATATACTCCTTCTTCTTATTGAATCCATCCAGGTAGTTTGCATTGATGTACGAAGAGGATGGATCGCCATCTATTGTACTTAAAAGAACACGGGTGTGGTCGAAAGCTGTCAACAAAAACATAAAACAAACGTTAAAAACGAGATGTAAAACAAGGATGTTTTGGCAACCTTATTCTACCTTTCTTGAATATTAACCGTAAAAAAACCCCGACACCCATTACGGTCACGGTACGGACATCACTCCCATCCAATAAGAATGCTCAGTCTGTACAAATACTTCTAGGTTAGATATCAAGGTACTCTACCTGTTATGTTATTGTATCGGTTTTTAAACCTATTGTTTGGATCTATAGATGCATTTGACGTCACTGTATCAGGTGACTTGACAGTTGCGTACTCTTGAGAGAACAGTAGATCACTGTTGGCGTGTAATCGACGAACGTGCCTTTCAAACTCTGCTGCAGTATGTACTTCACCAGGCTCGTATTGCTCTAAACAGATAATCACATTCAATCAGTCATAATACATGACTAACAGAGAGAACATCTTTTGCCAGTGTGTCATCCTAATGGAAGACGCTAACGTATGGACAAAAAGAGGTTAATTTATAAAAAAGGGCCAAATGCAATTAGCATGCAGGGACAATCGTACCGTGAGCAGCGAAGTGATCTTTACGAGAGAGACGTTGTGCAATGCTACTTAATCGGCTGCGTGATCTGTGTTCTCTTAATCCAATGTCATCTCCCTGTTCCTCTGCTTTTCGTCTTTTTTTGAACCATATGAAAAGAAACTAAACAAACAAATGTTACCGATTAATTGGTGTGGTTACTAATATTCTTATTTATTGTTCATATAGAAGCTCGCATTACTAGCAATGCTACTCTCACTACCCTCTTTACATGAAGGTACAGTGATCAAACTGGAGGGATAATTCTTTTGCTTTGTATGATAAAGGCAACAACACACTCGTCTTTATTAAGACTTAGGGTCTCCTTATTTCATAGACTGTTTTTGAGATCGCGGTCAAACACCTTTTCTTCATCATTCCTGATATGGTGTTTGTACCCAAGCTAGACCACAATACATTATTCTTAAGCTAACTGTTTGCTTACCAAGATTAATGCTAATAAAATAATTGCCACAATAGAACCAACAATTGCTCCAATCGGTGGTCCTGGTTTTTCCGGAGTCGTTACAGCTGGTGTCCACGCGTAGGATTCTGTCGAACCATCTTCCGCGATTGATCGCTGAAAGAACGAGTACTTAGTCTCTGACTCGAGTTTCTTGTTATTGAATGATTCTGCGTCGGGTTCAACTAAAAAAATGAAAAGTTAAAATGGTAATGAGCTGAAACAAAGGCTGCAAACAAAATGGTGAGTCTGTGCATCTTATAGGCTGGCTCTCATGCCGTGGTTGTTTCAACTAATTGATAGATGACTCTGATACATATTTATATTTATATTCATTATTTTATATTATTCAGACTTTTAATAATTTATAATAATAATAATAATAATAATAATAATAATATAGTAATAATGGGGTGCTTTTATAGCGCATTTCACATGGTCTCAATGCGCTTTACATTAATGACCAGTTGATTAATGACTTTACGGGCTGCATATTAAGGCGCTATTAGCAGCCGTGCAGCTTACAATCATGAGTGATTTGTTAGTACATTAGTGTTATGCCTCCAAATTGGGATAGGCTGTTGAACCGGGAGACAATCCCCTACTCTTTCACGAATAATTCAACAGGTTCTTTTATGTYCCCCATTTACTGTAGGTTAGGAAGGGTTGGGAGACAGGGCCTACGGTTTAAAGTCCTTATCCGAGAAGACTTGAAAGTCTAACCATTTKCAGATATTATTACAAAGGCAGCACCTTCTCGTCAGTTATTTCAAGACCCTGAGTGTTGGTCCGGCCGAGGACCAATTTGATTGTAAATATACAAAAATATTTATAGATAACTTTAACACTTGTAAAGCGCTTTGGGACTTTAGGAAAAGGCGCTATATAAAATCATTATTATTATCATTATCATTATTATTATTTATATTATCAGCAGTAAACACGTTTGAATGCTAATTAGGTAAGCTAGACAGGACTAATAATACAATCACTTAAAACCAATTATAGAGGAGGAAAA